CAAACTCACAAGCCTCCTGCCTCAGCATCCTGAGTTCTGGGACAGAAGGCATGGAGTACCATGCCCAGCCCCTCATCTTTTTGTTTTTCTGCACATCAAAAAACACTAAAATTGAAATGAATTTGAGATGTGTTAGTGTACTTGCTTGATTTTCAGGCCCGCATTGAGGAGCTGGAGGAGGAAATTGAGGCAGAGAGAGCCTCCAGGGCCAAAGCAGAGAAGCAGCGCTCTGACCTCTCCCGGGAACTGGAAGAGATCAGTGAGAGGCTGGAAGAAGCCGGCGGGGCCACATCGGCTCAGGTGGAGGTAAACAAGAAGCGGGAAACTGAGTTCCAGAAACTTCGCAGGGACCTGGAGGAGGCCACCCTGCAGCATGAAGCCACATCAGCTGCTCTTCGGAAGAAGCACGCAGACAGTATGGCTGAGCTTGGGGAGCAGATCGACAACCTGCAGCGTGTCAAGCAGAAGCTGGAGAAGGAGAAGAGTGAGCTGAAGATGGAGATCGATGACCTTAGCAGTAATGCAGAGGCGATCGCCAAAGCCAAGGTACCCAACACCATCTCTAGATAAGGGCAATGAGCCAGAAAAACAGCATCCATTGTTCTTGGCATCAAACATGGTTTGCAGGCATTTTATAGTATTTGTTCAAATATTTTCCATCCTAATATATTCCTGTAGTTTTGTTTTCTGAAAGTACTGACTATAACCCACTAAGATGACTTCAAAATCCACTTAAGTGAGTGTCAACATCATTGGGATATATGGGTAGCTTCCAACAATGAATGTGACATGTATGTTGAGTTCTGGCACATGCCAAAGCACCAGTGTCATAACTTTCTACTCATATCTCATCTATTTTTGAAACATATTTTATTCTTTTAATATTAAAACATTTTAAATACTTTTAAGAATTGTGGCTTATCTTTTTTTTCTGCCGATATTCAATGTTTGATTCTTCCTTGTCACGTGATCCTTAGGGAAATCTTGAAAAGATGTGCCGTACTCTGGAGGACCAGGTGAGTGAGCTGAAGAGCAAGGAGGAGGAACAGCAGCGGCTGATCAATGAGCTGACAGCGCAGAGAGCCCGCCTGCAGACAGAAGCAGGTAGAGATACCTTCTCTGGCTCCCCACATCCTGCACTGTGTGAAAGGGGTTCTTACTATGCAGCAAAACCCTCATTTTTAGAGGGAAATCAACAAACTACCAGAATTTTTCAAGGCAGTCAGTCCGCAAAGGTGCAGGGAGGCAAAAATAAGAAGACAGGTTTGTTATGCTCCTGTGGCAATCGGGCTTACAAATCTGCATTTTGACTTTTATTTTTTGCTAATTTCCATTTCCGTATCAATATTTAGAAGTGAAATATATATATATATGTATATATATATATATATATATATATATATATATATACATACACACATACACACGGTTCATTGTTATACCATGAGTTCTCCCGATTCTACTGTTCTTAGGTGAATATTCCCGACAGTTAGATGAGAAAGACGCCTTAGTCTCTCAGCTGTCAAGAAGCAAGCAGGCATCTACCCAGCAGATCGAGGAGCTGAAGCGTCAGCTTGAGGAAGAAACCAAGGTGACTTTGACCAGAGATTTTTCTTGACAAACCAAACCCGAGAATGCCCAGTTATATTCTACTTGAGGTGTGTAAGTATCACAGGATCTATGAATTGAAATCACTGGTTCCATCCCTTCTGCAGGCCAAGAACGCGCTGGCCCACGCCCTGCAGTCCTCCCGCCACGACTGTGACCTGCTGCGGGAACAGTATGAGGAGGAGCAGGAAGGCAAGGCTGAGCTGCAGAGGGCGCTGTCCAAGGCCAACAGTGAGGTGGCCCAGTGGAGGACCAAATATGAGACGGACGCCATCCAGCGCACGGAGGAGCTGGAGGAGGCCAAGTATGTGGTGTGCACTTAAGTTTTGCCTTTCCTAGTGGTCTCCATTCCTGTGTCACGTGCTTCACATCCATTTAGCTGTCATAGCAATGTTAATCACTGCCACTATTTATCTAAAGAGATTTATTTAGAGAGACAGCTGGTGTTGGAACCAGATGTTCTGATTCCAGAGGTCATCTTCTTAAGCTCTGAGTGGACAGACATCCCTCTTAAAACTTACAGTCTAAAGTTTCTAAACTGTACAAAATGTCTAGGATTGGTCTAATGCACCTTCTTGGGGGTCAAGTTTAAAGGAGTTTTCTGTGTCTTAAGGATGTGGCCTTGGCACACCACTGGGAATGAAGCAAGAACGTAGATCATTCAAATGAAAGTCAAACTTGCCTTTGCTTCTGCTGCATGAATTGTCCAGATTATCTACCAACTGTGTTCTCTCTTTAGACTGTCCAAACATACACGATTTAAAAAAATTAGCTATTCTCTGGGGACAGGGATCGTGAAAGGAATCAGAAGGTCACTGAATGTACGAAGGCATCCAGCGCTGATAGCAGCCTGTGGGACTCCAGTAACATTCCCAGAACTTCATGGAGTCCAAATATCTACCATTTTGGACTTCTATCAGTTTGTTACTCATGAATAGGAGTCTGGTGACCATTCCTTTGGAAAGCAGATGGTTTTGCCGATACAGGACAGGACAGTAAGAAGGAACCATAGCAGTTATCATTTTGTTCCTGGCTTTGGCCAGATCCTGACAGTCTGGCTAATTTCTCAGGAAGAAGCTGGCTCAGCGTCTGCAGGCGGCTGAGGAGCACGTGGAAGCCGTGAACGCCAAGTGTGCTTCCCTGGAGAAGACGAAGCAGCGACTGCAGAACGAGGTGGAGGACCTCATGCTGGATGTGGAAAGGACCAACGCGGCCTGCGCCGCCCTGGACAAGAAGCAGAGAAACTTCGACAAGGTAGTCTAGCCTGCTTAAATTTTACAAAAAACTTGATGTGGCCTTTCTTCTCCCTGTCCTGGCTGACAATCTGTGGCTTTTCAGGTTCTGTCAGAATGGAGACAGAAGTATGAGGAAACTCAGGCTGAGCTTGAGTCCTGCCAGAAAGAGTCCCGCTCCCTCAGCACCGAGCTGTTCAAGGTGAAGAACGCCTACGAGGAGTCTCTGGATCAACTCGAGACTCTGAAGAGAGAAAACAAGAATCTGCAGCGTGAGTCCCGACCTTCTCGATCCTACTCAGCCCTGGCTGCACCCTCCCATGTTGCCACCGTTCCAACCACTTCCTCTCATCTCTTCTTCCACAGAGGAGATTTCTGACCTGACTGAGCAGATCGCAGAGGGAGGGAAGCATATCCATGAGCTGGAGAAAATAAAGAAACAAGTAGAACAAGAGAAATGTGAGATCCAGGCTGCCTTAGAGGAAGCAGAGGTACATGGTACTCTGTTATGGGGGGGAATCAAAGACAAACACTACAAAAATATCAAGCTGAGTAATGGTACCATGAACTGAATACGTTGCTATAGAGCAGAGACAATTTAAATGTGGGACCTTTGTTTACAGGGCAATTCGGTGATTAATAATGCTAACACTGGGGCTGGAGAGCTGTCTCAGCTGGTAAGAGCTCTTACTGCTGCTCTTCCAGAGGACCTGAGTACAGTTCCCAGGACCCACATCTGTGGCTCACAACCACCTGCAACTCCAGCTCCAGAGGACCAGACACCCTCTTCTGGCCTCCAGGAGCTCCTACACACACATGTCATACATCCACACAAACATGTATGCAAAAAATAAATTTGAGAAAAACACAAATTCTCTAACCCATCAACTCAGTTTCTTAGAATTTACCACAAGAAGCTCATATTAAAAAGAGATAAAACTTGAAGGCAAAGAGTCCGATACAAAAGTAAGCAAAATGTAGAACAATAGATTTCCAAATAAAAATTAAGTATGGCTAGTAGGCCAGGAGGGGTTACACATACCTGAAATCCCAGCACGTGGGGGTAGAGGCAGGAGGATTATCAAAGCCAGCTTGATCTATACATAGTAAGGCCCAGTCCAGCCAAAGCTTTATAGCAAAATCTCACCCTAAAAGACCAAAAGAGCCCAGCAAAATGGCTCCGTGGGTTACGGCACTTTCCACCAAAACTTATACCCTCTGTTCAGTCTCCAGAACCCACATGGTAGGAGGAGAGGAGCAAACTCCCACAGATTTATCTCTGACCTTTGTGTTCTCTCTCACCCTCTCTGAATTATTGATCAAATGAATAAGTGAAACGATTCCAAAAGTAGTATTAATGTGGGGAAGGATTTGTGATAGACACAAATATTTGCTTTTAAAAAGCAAGAACTATATTTGCATATGCAACTTCAATTAGATAGAAATAGGGGGTCAGAAGGATCATGAATGAGCCCAAGGCCAGCCTGAACCACAAAGCAAGACAGCCTGTCTAAAAAAATTAGTATAAAAAATGTACCTCATTAAAATAGTTGTCTCTCCGTGAGTAACAAAGGGAAACTGTTTTTATACATTGTCCCCACATTGTACAATGAGTATGCAATATATAATCAGAAAAAAACCCTATTTTTAAAACTTATAGTTTCTATGATAGATTAGTGTTTTTACACATGAAGATTGTAGTTTATGAATCATTATGTATATTACATATAAAATTAATCAGATAACTCTGTTAGTACTGTCATGAATCTTTAGATCGTGCAAAGTATTTTATTACAGAGCTGACCTATATAATCTGTGACCAGATAAACAAAAAAATTATAAGTTCTTAGGACAACTACATTAACTTTAAAATTCAACCAGAGTACAGCAATAAGAGGCTGCCTCACAAACTCAGAGTAGACGCCAACCACTCGAGTTCTCTTCCACTCAGTGCTGACTGATCACTGTTTCCTTAAGGCATCTCTGGAACATGAAGAGGGAAAGATCCTGCGCATCCAGCTGGAGCTGAACCAAGTCAAGTCTGAGATCGACAGGAAGATTGCTGAGAAGGATGAGGAGATCGACCAGCTGAAAAGAAATCACATTAGAGTTGTGGAGACGATGCAGAGCACGCTGGACGCGGAGATCAGGAGCAGGAACGATGCTCTGAGAGTCAAGAAGAAGATGGAGGGGGATCTGAATGAAATGGAAATCCAGCTGAACCACGCCAACCGATTGGCTGCTGAGAGCCTGAGGAACTACAGGAATACTCAGGGCATCCTGAAGGTAGACATCCGTTGGCTGCTCAGCTGAGTCACAGAACACACCTGTCTGCCGTTCTCACAGTTAACTTCTTAAGTAATCTGTTTTAGCTACTTCTACTGCTGTGATGAAACACCCTGGCAAAAAGCAACTTAAGAGGAGAAAGTGTTTCATTCCAGCTTTCAGGTCATTGGTCCAGTCCGTCATGGCAGGGGAGTCAAGGCAGGGGGAGCCTGAAGTCGCTGGACACATTGACCCACAATCAGGAACAGAGAGAAATGAACTCACACAAGTGCTCAGCTGGCCTTCTCCATTTTATACAGTCTAAGATCCCTGACCAGGGAATGGGCATGCCCACAATTACAATGGGTCTTCCTACATCAATTAACATAATCATGATAATCCTCCTGTGGCATGCCCATTGTCCTCTCCCAGGTAATTCTATATTCTGTCAAGTTGACAATTAACACTGACTATCATAGCCACGTCCTCCCAGTTACCAAATTATACAGTTGAATGCACCAAGAATGCCAATTAAAAAGTGTCTAAAACATAATAGTTTCCAGAAATTATGTATAGACGAACAAACAGGAGTTGAAAGATGGAGATATGGCGAGATAGAAAATACACAGGCTTTCCACAAAACAGGCCTGAGGGTGAATCTTAGTTTTGTTGCTCTCTGACTTCGGGCAAGTTACTTGCACATAATAAGAGTAAGTTTCCCACCTCAAGGATGGCAGTGGGGACCAAATGAAATAGCAGATATCAAGTACTATGTGGGGTATACAGAAAATGCTCTATAAGTGACATGTATGTGACAGTCAACAAGATAAAGGTAGAGACAGAGCGAGAATCTGTCTCTTGACAATTTGCTCACACACCAAACAAATGCCACCATTATCCTTAAGCTCATACAAATGACAGGCAAGTCACCTCCTGCTCCTGGCACGGATACACCGTGGGAGCTCATTTCCTAGGTGTTCATCTCCTCTTCAGAATAGTCAAGATATTTTTCAACTTATAGGACACCCAGCTGCACCTGGATGATGCTCTCCGGGGCCAGGAGGACCTGAAGGAACAGCTGGCGATCGTGGAGCGCAGAGCCAACCTGCTGCAGGCTGAGATTGAGGAGCTGCGGGCCACGCTGGAGCAGACAGAGAGGAGCAGGAAGATTGCAGAGCAGGAGCTGCTGGATGCCAGTGAGCGCGTGCAGCTCCTGCACACCCAGGTGAGCAAATGCTGGCGCTCTGCTAAGGGAGGAGTCTAGAGCATAGGTATGTGCATAGAACCAGGGATGGGGCTGCATCTAAACCACCACTGCAGTTATGACAGGCCAATAGGTGGCTTTGTTGTGCATTTCTAGTTCTTGTCTAGACTCTCTATCAAAAAAGGTTTATAAATTTAGAAATAAGTTTAGACTTTGGGGGTTAATTGAAATCATGAAGAATAACACTGAGAAAACATGTCTTTGACTCCAAACTGAAACACATTTCATGAAGCACTTATCAGGGGCACATTGGAGTTCAGCTGCTCTGTGTTTACTGTTCTCACGCCTCACAGGGCACTTAGCATCCCTTCTTGCTCAGGCACTAAATGTAGTAGCAGCCCCTCGTAAGATCTCTGTGACACCAAAATAACCACACTCCAGCCTTTCCAAGTACTCTCCTTCGAGAATACTGGGTTGAAATTTAAAAAAAAAAAAAATGTTTTCATAATACAAATTCAAAATCCCCCCAAAGGACAAGATTCTCCCTGCCCCCATACACACACACACATACACACACACACACACTTCTTTTGATAGACTTCCAGTGCCATGCACTCACACACACACACACAAAAACTATTATTCCCAACCTTTAAAACAGAATTCTCTAAATCAAAGAAAAGAAAGAACAAATAACAAATGACTACTAATACCAGCATTCATTGTTGTTGTCTTGATATAGGGTCTTCCTATACAATACAGGCTGGCCCTAAATTCATGATCCACATGCCTTAGCCTCCAGACTGCTGGTATTACAAGCATGTATCATTACAGGCACTCCTAAAACTTCACAGGTCCTCCCATAGAAGTCAGATAGGCAGTAAAGGACTGAGTATAGGGAGGGAGGTTCCAGCCATGCAAATGATTACAAGTTTGCACCAAACAGAATACTTCCCGTTAGTTGGCATCGGGTCTCCTGGGTTAGACAAAAATAGAACATTTGTAAATCTCAGCTGGGAAACTTGAAAATCGTATTAATTTCCACTGTCTTTTAACAGAACACAAGCCTCATCAACACCAAAAAGAAGTTGGAAAATGATGTTTCACAACTCCAGGGCGAAGTAGAAGAAGTGATTCAAGAGTCACGCAATGCAGAAGAGAAGGCCAAGAAAGCCATTACTGATGTGAGTGCCATGCAGGTATTCTCCTCACACCTGTGTTCCCTGCCACCACCAGGGCTCATTATTTTCTTGATTTACTTGCTTTTCAGGCCGCCATGATGGCGGAGGAGCTGAAGAAGGAGCAGGACACCAGTGCCCACCTGGAGCGGATGAAGAAGAACCTGGAGCAGACGGTGAAGGACCTGCAGCACCGTCTAGACGAGGCCGAGCAGCTGGCGCTGAAGGGCGGCAAGAAGCAGATCCAGAAACTGGAGGCTAGGGTGGGTGTCTTCATCCCTAATTCTGGGAAGGGCAAAAGGGGCACACTCTTATCATCATGGGGTCAAGAACACCCTGGCCACACCTGCAGTAGACCCTAGGCTAATTAACAACCCCAGCACTGACTGGAGAGGAGGAGATACAGCTTTCTTTCTTGGTTACAGGTCCGTGAACTTGAAGGAGAGGTTGAAAATGAACAGAAACGTAATGCCGAGGCTGTTAAAGGGTTACGGAAACATGAGAGAAGAGTAAAGGAACTTACCTATCAGGTAAAAGGAATAGTTTTCTAGAATGTACAGGCATCGTGCCCAAAGGGAAAGGGGGACCCTGGTGACTCCTCCGGGGGCACTCTCAGATGTGCGTGTTAACTGCACGTGTGTAAAGAATAAAGGCAGAGTTGCTCATCACAGGCAGACACCAAGCTAGGACGGTGAGGGGAACCTTTACAAAACAACACAGGACAGGGCCTGCAGGTCAGTGGTAGACTATACAGATTTCACACGGGCTTGATCCCCAGTAAGAGGAAGGAAGGGGGGAGGGAGGAGGAGGGGGGAAGTGGCGTAAGAGAGAAAAGAATAAAAGCACTAAAGCCAAGTACACTAGATGTCAGTCCTATGGCTTCTCCCAGAACAGCAGGGCAAGGATTCGAGATGATGTATAGAATTCTTTAGTACAGAGACCAACTAGACACAGCACACATTTAACAAATGTGACCACTGTTCATAGCATAGGTTGGTCAAGTTCATCCTCAGGTCCCCCTGCCGGCATATAGGACCCCCTTCTGGCATATCAGCGACTTATTTGGGCACCAGGTAAACATATTTCTTTGGGCTGAGTGTGTATCTTTTTTTCAAATGTTCAGACCGAGGAGGACCGCAAGAATGTGCTCAGGCTGCAGGACTTGGTGGACAAATTACAGGCGAAGGTGAAATCCTACAAGAGACAAGCGGAGGAGGCTGTAAGTGTCTTTGAGGTTTGGAGAAAGAAGCAGACTTCTGTCAGGGAGAAACATGTTTTAAAACAAAAAAACAAAAAAAAAAAAACATGTATTGGTGAGGAAGAAAGGCACACACTAAGAATCCACCATTCATGTGTTCTCCAAAGGCTGCAACCTTACAAATATATATGTACACACGCCCATCTTAATTGTAGACTCGGCCTCAAGAGGAGATGTGTATTGTTAGGCAGAAAGGCTGGGGAAGGAGAAAGCTCCAGATACCCAGCCTTAACCGGTAGCAACAAACACACAACAGAATCACTAACTTCGGGATGAACAATTCCTGTCCCTCCACATGCACAAACTCAAGTGTTCCCGACAGTGAAGTATTGACTTCCCCGCACCCAGCTGACTTGTGGACTCACTCCATAAGTCAGGCTCCCCCCCCCTCCCCCGCATCTACCCCAACAACCGGAAGAGCATGATGGAAGAGCTGGAGGCACAGCCAGTGGTGTGTGAGGCCCTGGCTTCTGTAGGACCAAACAACGAAGAAAGGATGCTGGAAGATTCTCCAGCTGCACTCCCCCCGCCCCCGGGCCCCGCCCCCCGGCGCCGCGCCGGCCAA